TGTCCAGGCTTCAAATCTCGATCTGTACATTGGTTAACATGTTTTTCCTCAGTAATTCTACAACCAATCGAATTCACTGCGTATGGTCGCCAGACTCGCCACAGTAGTCAATCTCATGAGCAGTTGTCGGCAAACTTAGAATTTCCGAGGGTGGTTTTATGGCAATGTACTTGGCCAGATTTTCTGCGCAGCCTAAATCAGCGGCCTCCATAAAAAAATTGGACTGTAACGTTCAAGTCCTTGACGAAATCATGAGATAGGAAGAAAATATATCTAAAAAAAAATCATTTTCTGCTTAATAAATTCGTATTTATAATTTTATATTTTTCAAACGGTACAGCAAAGTTAGAAATGACTGTGGCGTTACGTTCTCCGGAGCACGAGGAAGACAAAGGCGTCATAGCGTGATCCCGTCGTACGGAAAGTCGTAAGAAGTTCAGTAATTAGAACATTCTTTATGGTCTCCCACGCAAACTAGAAACTTCAAATGACCTGAAAGCCTTAAAAAAAAGTCTGCAATTTATTTTGGACCAAAGAAAAATATTACATCGTAAACTGAAAGCGTGTGCTACAGAAAATGGGTCTCTCTAGACCCTCGCAGATCTTGGATTGCACCAAACCAAGTCTCTTATTCCCCACCTCGTTTTACATTCTCAAAGTTGCAAAAATGCAGTTCTCATAGACACACAATTTTTGTTTTTTTGTAAATAAGCTCCAAAGAAGGAGCTCTGAATGTTTTCAAAATGCCTGTGGTTGTCAAATCGTCAACATTCAAGGACACACAATTCTTAAAAATAACAAGTCTCAAGCAGTTTATACATATTGTGTATTATAAAAACAAGATACAAATTTATATTACATATTAAACAATCCATCACAGTCTTATTGTCTTTTAAATTCCTCATAAAATAATGCACACACATATATTAAAATATACGCGTTTCATCTTTGAAGGCCAGCGCCCTTATCCCCTAAATACATTGGACCTCAAAAATAGAAAGAATTTTGTCCTTTTGAACATCATACATGCATCGCCCTCTCTGCTGTAAAGTTTACAAAGACAAGAAATATTTGGTGCATTTTGGTCCACTATAACCCACACTTGACAGGAAGTTCAAAACTGATTAAAAATTCTACAAGTATTTTTTAATAAATTCCACGACATTTTGGAAGGCAGTTCTAATTCTGTCTTCAGGTGACGAATGGAAGGATGAAACCCCACTCTGCTAAATCCCCCGGTCAACGTAGCTTAAACTATGGATCCACGGACGAAGTCCAAGAAAATAATTATTCACAGTCATAAAAACTTTAAATTTCGCTAATATTTTTAAAATTTGTTAAAAACTTCATCATATAAAAAACCGGTACATAACATCAAATATTTCTCATTAAGATATATAATTTTATACAAAATATTAAATACAGTCTATATTAGTGAACTACACGGAAGACTCGATGAAGAGCATTATCTCCACCGATGACAGCAACGGAATTAACGAGAATGTCGGAACAGGAATGACGTGCATTAGGATTTGTTATCAGTGATCGTTGTTTCCCACAGTTCTGGGCAAATGCTGTAACTACCTTAAGATAAGCGTCTGACTCCCTTCACTGTCCTTTCCCATTCACCGTACACAGCCATCGTCACATCTCGTGGGAAGCTAAATAACCTACTCAGTTGATAAGATACCATTAAGTAATGTTGCATCAACCCAATCAACATCATTCAATTATTGCAAGTTTCTTACACATTGCAGTGTGCAGTGTTCGCATGCTGCATGTGTCGGCTATTGTCGACAGCATATCAGCGCTTGAAACAAGTGAGCAGCGAGACCTGTGAAGAACGCTTCCAAAAACTCAAGTCACATGATAACTCGTTTCAAATGCGCTGAGGACTGATGCTGTATCACTTTATCTTCTCAGAAGTTTCTCTTGTGACAACTGTCATAAAAACGCTTTATTGCACACGAGAAGTTCCTGTCATTTTATTTTAAAATGATTAAAATTTGTTTTATCAACTGAGCCATCATATGGACTTGTTTTAGTATTTATTAAATGATACAGTAAAAACATCTGAATGAAATGAGAAATGTTCTAAAAGATGGAATTATTGGTGATTAAAAATATAGTGAGTCTAATAATTAATATGATAACAGCGAACAGAGCGAGAATTCTTGAGGCGAATCATATGTGGCAAGGAAATGACAGACGTTACTAACACTGATAAAAAAGCTGGTGTTTGTATAAATGCTGAAGATGTGAACAATTTAAAATATTTCTTGGATAATTTTCTAGTCACTCAAATATGGGGATTAGTTCGCGAGTAGAATTTTTTTCGTGTGTGAAAAGACGCTTTTCTTTAAAATGTCCAGAACGTACAGATATGACATAGGCAACCCGCTAGCCAGTCCTTAATATGTTGACCTGACAGCAGACCGTTTCACTTTGTTGTATATTGTGGGAAACGACACATCTGTCTTACCAAGTGCCATGCTCTTCACACGTTATCTGAGATCAGCAAACACTTCAGGGTTGTGACACTTAATATCAGTCACAGAGGAATTCCACACTACTACTTCCATTTCCTCATTGGTACAATGTACTGAACTAAGAAAACAATCTTCTTTGACGACCGAGGTCGATTCCACACTGACCAATCAGGCCTGTCACATGCCTCAAGGAGTACTGATACACAAAGACAAGGTATCAATGATCGGCAGCGGAAAAGCAAATGACTCAGAGTAAAACGTGCCTCAGCGCAAATCTGTCCAAGAACTTCATAGTACAGAATCTTCCTTGAACATCTGATAGGTACTGAAAGATCAACGGGTACAATGTAAATCAGATACAAAGTCTTACAGTTATTGGTGGTTTTTTATAGAAGCGTATCGCTGCCTGGACAAACACGACGCCGAAAATAAACGTTCCGAGCAAAATGAAGATGATGGCTGCCAAAACCACGAACTTGTCCTTGTTGAGGATAATGTGAGGGTCCTTATGTAGCGTGGACTGCATCAGGCACAGGCCTGTGAAATGAAAACAGACGTGGAGCACTGATCTACACACATCCTCTCATGCAATACCCACAGATAATACAGAAAAAAATATATTTATAATTTACCTGGGAACACAAATATGAAGATGGCTGCCAGGCTTCCAAGTATGTCAATGACAGAACCTATGTCTGGACTCAACAGTGCTAGGACAAGAGTAAGAATGAACCAGACGGTTGCTATGGTGATGCGTCGCCTTCGCTCTGTCACCGCCACATCACTCTCGCTGTCATGTAACAAGTTTGCCCACAGGTTACTAACAGCCTCCCTGTGAACAAAACAAAGCAACGTCAAAATGTGAAATTAAGTAAGTTTTGGCTTTATAATGCTCACTGAATGGGGAAATAAATAAACCACAAAATTAATAATGTAGACTTGTTTGCAATAAATTAACATAAGGTACCGAAGTACACAAAATAGCAAAGAACATACTTGCAAAATGTATGTCTGTCTGTCCTCTCTCGTTCCATTATAAAGTATGACTCTCCTTGTTTAAACTGACAAACTCGTGTTCCACTTAAAATACGAAGACCAGTTTCCACACACAATAAGTCTTACCTGCCGCAGAAAAGCAGAATTGGATAAGTTGTGTAAGTTTTGATCGCTACGGCCACAATCCCAATAAGTACTAGTATATCAGACCCTGAGTAGGATTCAAGGACGTCACTTGTCACATAGGATCCAAACGTGAGATATCCATAAATTCCAGCCACAGTATAAGTTGCCACACATACAGCAATGGCAACCGATGCGCACAGCGTGAAGTTGTTCAGGTTTCGTTCACGCAGACACGCGTAGACCGGTATCACACTAACATGACACTGTGGGCACAAGATCAATGCACACAGTAATTAACAGCACCTGCTCAACTGACTGGATCCTACAGCACTGAATTACAGGATTATAAAAAAATGACATGATAAAGATATGGAAAGCAGCCGACTCCAGAGTATAGATGCAGGTACTGATGGAAGATGGAAATATCTCATCAGAATAGCAGTTACTGGACTAAGATTTAAACCCATAAAATCATGAAAATGAAACACAGTTAACTATTTTGCTATTATACTTGGTAAATGTTGTAAGACTGATGAGGACGAATGAGTCACCTGGTAGCCGAAACAGATGACTGGTACGACCAAAAATATATCTGTCCAGTGAGTGGGACTTGTCTTTATGGGGCCAGGCACGAAGTTCCCCATGTATTTCTGGTACACAATGAGGATCACCACGTACACCACTGTGACAACACCCACCGAGCTGGAAGAGTAGACGGAATGAGTTAGCATTGCCAAACGGAAACACAGCCTCTTACATGACTTGTCACCAGCCTGTGCCAAAGTGGGGAGGAAAGACAAAGAAAAGCTTTTGTCGGCATACTTTTGTTTGTAAAACCTGAATTTAATTATAAGGATAGTTGTTTCTTGCAATGCACTAACTTTCATGTACCCTGTTATTATTTAACATTTACCCACAGAATTTAAGATGATTCCTTTGATTTTTTAACATATTTGTTTATCAGTACCTCCCAAAAATGTGATTTCTTATTCTTTGTGTTTATTTCTGGACCAACATTATTATTTTATAATATTTACTTTGTCAGCCTGTTTCATTCAATTCCAGACTTGAAAGACTTATCATGTTATAATTTTGGTGACACGACATGAACATACATTCCACTCTTCTGTGTTTGTACACAGGAAAATTAACTTCCTTATTAGCTTCCGACAGATCTACAGATCACTCACCTAACGTATTTGAGGAAGTCGATCCTTCTGGAGTAACAGAGAGGGAGAATGAACACGGAAGAACTCAACACAATCGTGAAGTTGCGGTTCATGTACCAGTAGTGGCAGAAATCCAAACCGTGCAGTGATGACAGCACTTTGAAAAAAAAGTGGAAAACAGTGGAACAGCACATCAGTTCAGCAGCAAAACACAGCCGCGTACACTGTTAGCATGAGACACGGCATGACATCCAACTAGCAAAATTCACATTGTCACCTCTCTGGTCCATGAAGTGAAAACACAATGTGTAGGTCATATTTGTCTGTCCTTATATTACATCTTAAACCACTATGAAGGATGGGATGGAAAAACAGGTAGACAGAGAAATGCACATAAAATATTTAACATGAAATAGGAAAAGACAAAAAATCAAATAATAATATTAAAATGAGAATATGCCTAAAAATGGGACGAACACAGATTTCATTACCTCTGTCAAATTGGTCACCAATGATGATAAGGAATGTGACACAAGTGCCAAAACAGTACAGGGCGACGGCTGAAGAGCAGGCAATGAGTCCTGGGCGGCCATAGACTCCTTCCAGAACCTCCTGTAATGTTCGAGCGCCGGTCTGATCGGAACAGTGTGCCAGAATCAGCAATGCTCCCATTATCCATCCTAGCAGGACCTGTCGACAACAAAACTAACTAATAAACATCATTTGTACTTGCCAGTAACCACTTGGAAGATGTGATAATGTGAGCTGAGATTTAGTTGGCTCTAGGTAGGGTAAATGGAAGGCCTCTATGAGCACAGCTGCGGACATTCAGGCTCTATAAAAGCAGGAACATTTTTTAATCAGCTGAACAACTATAAACTTTCCGACAAAGACCTTGCACCATGTAATATAACAGCTAACTGTTAACTTTAAATTTCTTAGAAAATTATTTTCTTCGTAGTTCTGCACATCTTATAAACTTACCACTGATAAAGTACACTGTTAATTTTATAATTATGTGTTACAGCTGGCTTACCACTTGGACAATGACGGCTGTCATAATTCCTCCAGCTTGATCAAATGCCTGAGGAAAATTAAGAAGCCCAGCACCAAGAGCAGCATTGATGATGAGAAATACTGCTGACAATCGACTGGAGCCATCTGAAACTCAGTAAGTGTAAAAAACTGAAACAATCGGTGATATCTTCCCATCTATGCCTAGGCCTCTCATCTCTAGAGGTTTTCTGTCTAAAAGCTTGTATTCACTTGTCATTTCTCCTGAACATGCTACATGCCAGCTTATCCTCCCTGACTATAAGTATCAGTGGCAAACAGTACAAATTATGAAACTCCTCGTTTTTGTCGTGTCCCATGTCTAAATGTTGTCTTATTGTCAAACACACACAATGTATGTTCTTTACTTACAGCACAATTGCCAAGATGAGAATGGGGGTCAAAGGTCACATAGTAATTGACATTTCTGTATGATTTAATGTGTTATACTTTGGTTATGTTGCAGGAAGACAGTTATGACTATGGAATGATAATAACTTGTATAGTGCTCAAATTTAATTCTTTCATACTATCTCATCGCTCAATGCCCCATGCATGCAAAAAATGAAACATACTTGCTGCTGGTTGCTGATCATGTTCCTCTTCACCATTGCTACCAGCTACGGTTGTCAACCACAGCTCATTTCCACTGTTAATAACAGAGTCGTCATCACCCAAAAATATGTGCATATTGTACTCATATGTCTCTTAAATAATACTGACTTACACTGGTACCGGTTTATGTGTTAGTAACCATTTCAGGTCCACTCATAAAGAAACATAAAACAAGCAGGTTTCAGTTACTATATCTGTTACGTTCAACTGCCGTAAGACCATTGATTTGTAATGACAACACATCTTTGTTTTCTTAATCAGCTGATGCATAACATTGAATAATACGTAGCAAGATTACTACGGGTCATACAACGGAGATCATGCTCTCGCCCTGGTGTTGAAATTCATGTACTACTTTGCTGTACCGCAAGCAGAACAAAAGAAATTTGCTGATAAAAATTTTTAGCAAAATAATTGCACTATCAAATAGTCAGTTTCTTTCTCCACGTCTTGTATAATTTCGAATGTATTACATTTATTTCGAAAATTCGTTCGTGAAGAACAACTTAATTACATTAAAAATAGTACTGAGTTACGTTCACGTGACTTATTGTTGGTGTGATGACTGTCTTCTGGATTGTAGTGTCGTGTAGTCTGGTGTTGGTTTACCTACGTTTCAGAAGTACCTGCTGCCTCCATTATCAGGCCGATAAACTTCTACCAGACTACACATTGCTCAAACCCATATGACAGCCGGCTTCATTCTTGCTGCAGCGAGAACCTAAAAATTTTACTCATTGTTGGTGGTCCAGTCCTTTTTTTTTTTTCATAATCGACATGTTTGAATAAAATTCTTTCAGAAATTAAGAAAGTTTTTTGGTGGTTTTTGATTTCTTCTTGAGAATGTTTTCAATGAGTTCTGATAACGTGTCTTCCACAATGGTTTTTTCTATTCATAGTCGATATACAAGTCTGTATGATGCTGTTCCGTTGATTATGGACTTCCTGTGGTACCATCAGTCACCCATTCCCCTAACAGTAACTTTTTTTTTTTAACTTAGACTGAGGGCAACAATGAAAGACCTCATTACTGTCAACTGGGATGCTGCACCATGTAGTCTGGTAGAGACTGACGGACGTTTCAGAGATGCTTACTGTCTGCATCACGCTTTGATTAAAACCACCCGCGAATGATGATATCATGTGGGAGGAAGTTGAATGCCTCTTGTGTTGAGGAGGTTCAGAGTAGGAGAATTTGATATGTTTTCAAAGTATCAGTTACAAAACAAAATGGCAATGCCTTGAATATATATGATTTTACTTTCCTAAAGCTAAGAGAGTTACTGACACCAAATGCAACATAAATTACAATTTTATTACCACAATGTGGGAATCATCCAACAATTTCCCTGCTTGTAATACAAGAGTGATTTGCTTTGTGGCTCTGATTTTTCTTGTTAAGAGAGTAGTAAGATGAAGATTGTCTCAAGGACAATTCACTTAACTTTGCTAGTTAAAGTTTATTGCTCTCTTCCTGCAGGCTTAGCCCATTTTGCAATTGGTCTCCCAGTGGAACAGTACTCTTTGTTGTACTTAATTCCTGCTATTTCATTAGTGTAAGTGTTGTCCCTGAAGCGGTAATACTACATAACATTTTTTCTTCACACTCAGTATCAGTATTCATTGGTCCTTTCTGTTTAATTGGGTCAAGGTAAGTGTTATACAGAGTGGCTAACAGTCCACATAAAAATTCTCATTTTGGAGTAAAGTTTTTAAACACATACACACCTAGTAACAAATAAATGCCAATAAGAGTACATAGTACTATAAATTACGTAGGTTTACCAGTAATTCAATGTGCTTGAGAAGGTACCAGAAGTTACTAAAACTTTAAATCATAAGTTTGATGAAGAACACTTTGTACTTCCTCCACTGTGAAATCTCTGATTTTTTGCAGTCATAATTAATACCCAAGTAATATTTTTATTATAAGTCCTGGAAACAGCACAGGTTTCAGAGGGAATGCATCGTCACATATTTTTGTTCTTGTGTGACATGCCATTTTGTTTTTCAGAAAATGTTATTAATTTTCATGATTACGTTACAAACGAATGTTTTAGATTCACATCTTAATCCTTTCGAAACCTAAATGGACTGTGTCGCTAGTGAAGGGACTGAATACGTATTACTGAATGTCATAGTGCACCAATTTACATTTCTGCTTTGTTTTCAGGAGTACCCTGATATGAATCTAGACCCAAAGATGGGTTTAGTTTTTCCCAAGCTTTATCTCGACAAAGTGTTATGCCTTAAAATTGACCACAATCACTTTTACATTTTTCCTAATCAATGCTGTATAAGCAGTAGTTGAAAAATTGTAATTAAATAAACCAAGAAACAAACATTAAAACTGTTCAGTTGTTGTGCATATACTTTAAGTAACCTGCGACTAATATTGCAAATAAACAATTTGCTTTTTTCTGTGGAACAGGCTGGTATAAATCATTGTTTTTGTTTTACAGTGCCTGTCTAAATTTCTGATTAATTAGTTTGTGCAAATGAAGAAACCGACTGAAACTTTTCTCTGGAATTCAATATAAAACTTTAGCTTTTTGGAATGAGCTTATTCCCAAAACCAATAATTTTACATTGAAATTATGTCCAATTCTTTCTGTGAGAATAACTACAAATGTTACTCTAGTGTTTAAAAAGGTTCCTATTAGCACTTAATATGTAAGTGCAATCTATTCCAGTTTCCATTCCACTGTGATAATTATGTTTATATAAAGGAAATCACTTTCTTAGAATAAGTTTAAAAACCTATGTTGACTACATTCGTGTTTTAACTAAACTATTATTTTCCTCAGATGGCATCACTGGTAAAAACTCATGCAACGGTGAGATCAGCGACTCCTGTGTTCTTACTGCTTCTCTCTATGCTGCAATACCACTGTGGGATGCCGCAGGAAAAGAATCATGTCACCGATGAGGTTAGACACCATGAATGTCAAATACTGAAGCTATTATTCAGAGTTCCTGCGTGTAAAACCTGGCTGTAACTCAAACTTAGCTTTGGGTTTGGTGATAACACCCGATAAGTTACTGCAAATGGACAAGTGAAATTTGTGTTGTGGCTTGTTATAAAAGCATGAAATGTGCTGCTTAATGTTATGTTTTAATACTCATTCTTCTTTTCAGAATTGTGCAGCATATTTGAACACTACAGAACAGGTTTATAGGCTATTTGAAGCTGCCACATACAGCAATATGAGCGTAGCCAGTTGTCTAGTGAACTCCGGGGTGAATCCTTCTGCATCTGTGGCTGGAGGGTTCACACCCATACAGGCAGCTGCTGTCCACGGTGACATTGATATGTGTCGGTTTCTTATCAACGCAGGCGCAAATGTGAACACGCACGATTCACTTACAGGACTGTCTCCTCTACTTGCTGCTGCTGGTAAAAACTATTTGGACATAGCGACATTACTCTTGGACTCTGGAGCTAATGTGAATACAAAAAACAAATTCAACAAAACTCCACTACACATAGCTGCACAGAAAGGCCACCTGGAGATATGCCAATTACTACTTGAAAGAGGAGCAGAAGTAAATATTCGTGACAGAGATCTGAATACAGCGTTACATATAGCAGTCCTTCGCAGTCACTTGCCAGTGGTGCAGCTTTTGCTGCAGCAAGGAGGTGACTTATCTGCTAAGAATATTTTTGGACAAACACCCCGTGCTGCAGCATCTAGAAACCAAGACATTGCTAACTGGCTAGACAGTCAGAAGTAACTGAGTTTTTAAGTCTAAAAATAATTTACTGCGCTTTAAATTGTATTATTTAAAGGTGTTTTAAAATATGAGATCCCTTAAAAAAGAGGTGTTTACAGAATTCTAGTGAGAAAAATTGGAAAATTGTCCACTTGGAAGACTGAGGTGGACGTGGGAGGATAACATTAAATTTAGTCCTGAGAAGGTGGGATGGCACTGGCTGGCTGAGTGGATTTAAATTGTGCAGAAAAGGGTTAAAGCCAGGTTTTAAACGCATTTTTAATAATGATGATGATCTTCTGGATTGTAACTCTATCTGGTTTTGTAAGTGAATACCAACATTTCAGAGGAATGTGTTATCTCTGTCTTCGCAGTGAAGGGGTCATACATTTCTCTGATATTGGTACAAGACCTCATAATGTCTCAACCAAAAATAACACCACTGACATTTTCACTGCCCTGGGAATCTCATATCTCATTTTTAATACTTCATAATTCCTGCTAATGAGGGTTTGCTAAGGGAATGAGTTTGAGGTTATAGTTTTTCAAAATTACTGTAGCAATCTGTTAATTTCAGCTTTTTAAGATATAGTGCTCCAGTTTCAAGTAAGCAGTTTTGTAAATGTTACATTTTCAGGTGTATATGTGTGTCAAAATATTCAGCTTGATCTTGTATTTCAGTTATAATTAAATGTAAGATAGTTGTCTTAGATTTTAAATATGTAAACGTTTGCAGTTAGTACTTGTTTAGAGACACAACTCTTGTAAACAATAACAATAATAGTTTATCAAATTTTTGTTACATAGTTGTTATGTATGACAGTATTTCTGTGATGTTATGAAATATTTATACAGAGACATTTTTTAAGAAGAGGTAAGAGGGAGTTATTTTACTTGGAATGAAGCAGCTGATGTGTGTTAGATGTTATGAAATATTTATACAGAGACACTTTTTATGAAGAGGTAAGAGGGAGTTATTTCACTTGGAGTGAAGCAGCTGATGTGTGTTGCTTTGGCAAAGCAAAATAAGATTTTTCTCTTAGCCTCCACATCCAGATTGGCTGTGGAGTTTACTCAGCCTCCTATCCAGTGGGTACTGGGGCCCTTTCCCTAGGAGTAAAGTGACCAGGACATGAAGCTGCTTCTCTCCTAAAATGTAAAGGCAAGTCAAAGTTGTCCCTGGTATTAAGCACAGTACCATAAAGTCTGATGGGGCATGAAGGTGTAGGATGTTCAAATCAAGGTAGATGAGATGGATGAGGCATGTAGCAAGCATAAGGGATGGGGGCTGTGTAAAAAAAAATTTGGTCCGAAAACCAGAAGGTACAAGATAAATTTAAAGACACAGGCACTGAATGCAGATATTAAAATGGAGCTCAAGGAAATGGGTGGAATGGCATGACTTGAATTCTTGTGGCTTGGGACAGGGATCATTGTGAATGTGGTATTGAACCTTTGGGTTCTGTGAAATGTGGTGAATTACTCAAGTAGAGTAATAAGTCAATGTCTGAAGGAGGACTCTGCTCTGTTTATTTAATTTTTGGTTTTGTAAAGGTTGTGTAATTCATTTGATTTACACAGCAGCAATCAGCTTATGAAGAAGGCCTTGTTTTCTGCATGTAAGTATCTGTGCTAAGCTTTTTCATTCTTATAAACATTACTTTGATTGCTGTATTTGTAACTGTATAAAGTTTACAGACGTTTTTGAGGCGCTTACTGCCTCTATCACTGGGCAATGATCATTATGATCACCCTGATCATTCATGCGTTAATGGTGGTACGTGAATCCAAATATAAGTGTGTGAACCTCTTGATTCTCAATAATCCTTTTTCTCATTTGCGAATAAAGCATTGTATTTCGGTTTAACACTAATTGCCCTGGATTACCAAATTTTAATGTTCTTTCTGTAATATTTTTCTTCAGATACATCACTACATAGTTTCTAGGAAATTAGATTTTTTTTTACTGTGGTACAAAAGACGAGAATCCCGATCCATTTATGTCATCATTCAAAGGTTGGTGTTTCTATGGATATCCTGTTCCGGTTAATGGTGTAATTGTGTTCGTAGCGTGTCTTTCGTTAATTTTTTTACGTAATATGGGTGATTTCAGTGACGATATTTTTAGTGTTTTCGATGAGAATGCTGAGGAACCAACACCGATAACAAAATTTGACGAGAAACCATTCATTAAAGAAGTTACACTTCAACCAGAAGCGAAGTAAGAATATGATCGTTTTAGGTTATGTTACTTTAAGATTGCTATGCTACGGCCCTTAAGACAACTTATCTCAACATGACATGCATCAGCAGACTACACATAAAAATTAAGAAAACTTGCTAATTTTTATCACTCTTCGGAAACTAATAACGTTGCTAGAAGTTAATACCATTAACATTTAAAAAATTATTATAATTGAAAAGGGGGTCACAGTATAAGGCAAGGTTTAAGAATTTGTTGTATTCCTTCCACATTATTGGCATTGGTGGGGCTCATTAGGTCTTATCGGTAATAAGAGTCAGAATATATTTAAGTAGACAACTGTAGTTTTCAACTGTACAAATAATGTGGCCTTAATTTCAGCATTAAGTAATATAAATCAGTAGTGATCCATCACAAGGCACATTAGGTCTGAAGTAGCATGTTATATTTCCCGAAAATTTATTACCATACATCACTGTATGGTACAATTGCAAATGGCACTAGTGTAATTCCTTGTCTCACAAATTTGCTCCTCTGCCATGTAGGAAATTGATAAGTATAATTGTAGTGTATTCCCCAGTGGCATAACTTCCATATAAAATTTCAGTTAAAACTGCCCATTGTTTTTTTAGTTGAATCATGCAGACAGACAGGTATGACCAACCCTATATGCATACATTTTATACAAATTGTGCAATGAAAGCTTAAGAAGAACCACATGTTTTGAGTATCTTAGTATTATTTTTCTCTTCTCCAGTACTTGGTTCTGTGGGTAACAATTTACAAATGTATTAATATTTTTGTCATATTTCTGCTTCTTTCGACAACAGAAGTGAAGCATGTAATATTAGTGCGGTGGCAAAACGTGGTCATGAAGATGATGGTGAGGAGCTTGCAGGGAAGAAGCCAAAGACAGAATCCATCTTGGATGATATTAAGTGAGTAACACAAAGTTTATCTATGTAATAAATCTTGATATATTTTGTCTTTTATTAGAACAAACCTCTACACAGCAATCATTTCTCTTTTTTTGCTGTCATTTATTTTTCCCATTTGAGATTAAGTTTTCCTAAGTTTCTTCTCTCCGTTATTTATTCCGAGGAGAAGTGTAAAATGAGACATAGTACTTTCAATAGAAAATTAGTCTGTAACCAAGATCTGGCTGATGGTACTTGATCACATTTTAGAATGCCTCTTTGTTTGTGCACTAAACACTGATATTTCAAGGTCAAATCTTGTCTGTTTTTACTAATTAGTTGGCATCTTTGATTAACGTTTTCCTTGTGTTGCCTTTTCTGCAGTATTGATGAAATTATGCCGCGAATCAAGGTTCATACAGTGGACACACTGGAAGCATGCACACACGAAGTTGCTGTTCCTCCTGAAGTGGAGTATGTCCCCTTAAAACAGATAGCAGGCAACCCTGCCAAGGAGTATAAGTTTATTCTGGATCCATTCCAGAAGGAAGCCATCTTGTGCATTGACAATAACCAGTCAGTTCTTGTGTCTGCTCATACCTCTGCAGGGAAAACTGTTGTGGCAGAGTAAGTTCAGTTTACAACACTGCTTCAGAAATTATATAAATTAATTGGTTGTTTTTGAAAGGAAGTAACTACACTTTTTATAATTTTGAGATAAGTGGGGAAACCTATACTGCCTTCAGAACCTCATATTTGATGTTAGTTGTTATTTAAATGTATATAAAGTGAGGTGCCACAAAAGATAGGCTCACTCGTGATGTTGAAGTAATGTTTCTTTATTTCACTGTAACAGCTATTGAAAGACATGCTTCATTGGAGTACATTTACTTCAGGATTTTTTTTTGTGATTTTGTTTTGTCATTTCATATTTGTTTCTTGCAGATAAAATCTACCATTTTAAAACTAATTACTTCATAGATATTGCTAAGTATTGTTGTATACTATCTTTCCTTTTAATTCCTTAAATATGCAACACTTCCATAAATACTTACAATAAATTTTATTGGTCTTAATGATATATTTATTTTATGCTACATACAAATGAGCTGTGTATGAGAAAAATTATAGGAAAGTTTGATGTGTTTTATTGGACTGGTGCAAATAAAAAGGAAATTTACTTGAAAACCTTAGTACAATTTTCAAACACAAAATTTTATCCATGTCTGTTGAGTGGTTATGATGATAAACCATGCAGCCAAGCACTTGCTTACAATGCACTGATGCATAGAATACTTAAACAGTGACAAAAGTGCATTTTATAATAGGTTGTGTAACTTTCAGGTACAGCATAGCAACGTCATTTCGTGACAAGCAGCGAGTTATCTACACAACACCAATCAAGGCTCTTAGTAATCAGAAGTACAGAGAGTTCTATGAGGAGTTCAAAGATGTTGGGCTTATCACTGGTGATGTCACAATCAACCCCACAGCAACATGTCTTATCATGACAACAGAAGTAAGAGACTCAAATGGTCTTGGTTTCTATCTGCCTTATATTCTGTTAGTTTGGGTTTAAATTCCCAGGAGATCCCTAGACTTGAAGGCTTGAATCTGCATACTTCTCTTATTTCCTTTTGGTGGGTCATACAAGTGAGATTTATTGTTGTCGTTGACGGCGGCATTGTTTTAATAAATGGCGCTATTAGGACCTTATACTGTAGAGTATGAAATGAGAGGTTGTTAGTAAATAATGAACTGGTAAGGATGTGGAGGGAGGTGTTGGAATTAATGTTGTTTTATTTCTGTAGATTCTGCGGAGCATGCTGTATCGAGGATCAGAAGTAATGCGTGAGGTGGGCTGGGTGGTTTTTGACGAGATCCACTACATGAGAGACAAAGAACGAGGTGTTGTATGGGAGGAGACTATTATCCTCCTGCCAGACAATGTGCACTATGTCTTTCTGTCAGCCACAATCCCTAATGCACGCCAATTTGCTGAATGGGTGACACACCTTCATCACCAGCCGTGTCATGTCGTCTATACAGACTACAGACCCGTACCACTTCAGCACTACATTTTCCCAGCTGGAGGAGAGGGCATTCATCTTGTTGTGGACGAAAATGTAAGTGTTCTGTAACTCAATATGTTTCTTTGAAATTTTGGTATCTATATGTAAGTCTACATGATGGTACAACCCAGAAGACCAACATTGTCATGGGTTTGATTCTCAGCGTGGAAGTTCATGATGCTTTTTCACCTTCTTTTTTCTGTTTTATCCCTTCATCAGACGCATGTTGGGATAGTACATTAAAATGTGTCTGTACTCCAATATATTTCACGCTTTTGTATCCAACCTTTTAATCTTTGTGTGTTTAATGTAGTATTATTAACAATAACAACAATAATAGAATGAATAATTCTGAGTAATAGCACGTCATTTACATAATTTGCTAGGTATGTAATTAATGTGTGCTGTATGGAGGAAGTGTTGAGCCTTTGTGTGTTTGTTTGTAAGTGAAGTGGCCAGCTTAAAAAATTGGTCGTCACTTGTAAGCTATTGCATGTTGCCAGAATTCTAATGTAACTCACCAGATATGTTTTTCAGGGCACATTCAAAGAAGACAACTTCAACACGGCTATGGCAGTGCTGCAGAATGCCGGCGATGCTGCTAAGGGCGATCAGAGGGGTCGGCGAGGGGGTAATCGGGGAGGCGGTGATACAAACATCTTCAAAATTGTGAAAATGATAATGGAACGACAGTTTGCTCCCGTTATCATCTTCAGTTTTAGCAAAAAGGACTGTGAAATTTATGCCATGCAGATGGCAAAACTTGACTTCAATACAGGTTTGTATATTTCAGTTTGCAAAGAGTGGGCATTGGTGGATTGATTGGTTGTGAGTCATTTTTGACAAAATTGTGACTCTGGGGCCCACCAAACTCCTGTCCGTTGAGTGGCATTGGATTCCTTTCCCTGGTACTGAAGAATGGTCACACTGTGATGCTGACAACCCACCTCCATGTAGTACCATGGTCAAGAATTAATAGCTTTTATACCACCTCTCCCCCAAAGCACCTTCATGGTGTGTAGAGGGGTAGCTTTACTTTACTCATGTGGATTGATGTTTAATGCCGCCATCATCATAGCTCCACACAGACATGAGATGGTTTTTCAATACGTTGTTGTATTTCACTTGAAAATTTTGTTTGAGAGGAGAGTTTCATTGCTTCTCTGTACAGATTATTTTTTGTTTTTGTTGCTATTATAGTTATTACGCTATATTTCTATGTTCATTTCAGTGGAAGAGAAGAAGTTGGTAGATGAAGTGTTTCATAATGCTATGGATGTTCTGTCTGAGGAGGACCGCCAGCTACCACAAGTTGAGAATGTTCTGCCCCTCCTTAGGAGAGGGATTGGAATTCATCATGGAGGTTTGCTGCCAATCTTGAAGGAGACAATTGAGATTCTGTTTGCAGAAGGTCTGATCAAAGCGTTGTTTGCAACAGAAACATTTGCCATGGGCCTTAACATGCCTGCCCGCACAGTTCTGTTCACCAGTCCTCGCAAATTTGATGGCAAGGAGTCGAGATGGGTGCGTTAACACCAGTATTCAACTTAGGGACCGAGATTAGTTGTTAATAACTTTGCCCGGCGTTACACATGTATCATTTTGGCAAACTTAGTACATTGCGTCTTTGTGTCCTATACAGGTTTCTGATGTCACAACATTGTCTTCAGATGCGTATGTTTATTTAATTTTTTAAATAATTGTCAGCATTATGCATTCTTGATTTTAAAAGATGACATTATCTAAACACCATGAAATCTAAGTAGTTGCAGTATATCGTGTCTAGATGGAATTGAATGCTAAGGTTAAGAATGTATGGAATTATACCTCCACTCCCATACTCCTTCATGGCATGTGCTGAATTAAGCATAGGGGTACATCGTCAGGGCATGATGCTTAATTAAACAAAGGTACAATTTTACAAGTAACACAGTTACAAGATGGAGGCATATAAATTGATGATGATGATTATCTTAAATTGGTGTATGTGATGAAGTTGAGAAACTATTTTTAACAGTGCTTCCCATCTGAATGAAAATAACTTACAATTATGACAGTTATTACAATACTGGTAATTATGTAGCCAGTGCAAGTAATATTGGTATTAAGATTTCTGTCTTCTGGGTTGTTGCCCTGTGTAGTCTAGTCGATGTTTACCAACGTTTCAGAGGTCATACTGCCTCCCGTCATCAGGGCGATTCACATTCATCTCTGAGAAAGGTACAAGAACTTCAGAAACTGATCTGCATTTCCTTAGAATATATACAGCAAATGCCTTCTATTATCCAGAATGAGAACTGAATGTAATACCAGATGTTATTATAGGTTACTTCAGGTGAGTACATCCAGATGTCAGGTCGAGCAGGTCGTCGTGGACTAGATGAGAAGGGTATCGTCATCCTGATGATAGATGAGAAGGTGAGTCCAGTAGTGGGTCGTAACATCGTGCAGGGCCTTGCCGATCCCATCAACTCTGCTTTCCACCTGACGTACAACATGGTTCTGAACCTGCTCCGTGTGGAAGAGATCAACCCAGAGTACATGCTGGAGCGCAGCTTCTTTCAGTTCCAGAACAACGCGGCAATCCCAGAACTGTATGAGAGTGAGTACCATGTGGAATGTGAGTGACAGTGCTCATAGCTTTTCATATGTGTGAGAGAGTGAGTGAGAAAGATTTGGATTATGAGTCTCATGTGCATGAGTGAGAATTATGTCGATTGCAACTTACTTGTATGAGTTGACGTCACAGATTATAAGTCATGTACGTCGTTTCCAGTACCACTTGTTTCGTATCTTATCTGAGGCCAGTTTCATTTATTCTCGTCCTTTACAGAAGTGAAGACTAGTCAGAAAGCATTGGACCAGTTGCATGTTCCACAGGAGAATCAAATTGCTTCATATTGCAACATCAGGCAAGAGTTGAAGACGCTTAGCAGCCAGTTCCAGTCCTACCTCACTAAGCCCCAGTACATTATTCCCTTCCTGCAGCCTGGAAGGTTGGTGAAGGTATGTCAGTGTATCAACTCGTTAAAAACTAAAGATGGCCGTCTTCACACTCGCCGCCATGAAAACCTCAAATCCTATGTTGTTAAAAACTGTTTTTAGTTCTGAAGAATCCTCTGTCATAGCTGAGCGGTCACTTGTTAGCTGATTGTTTGACGAGTGATCTCCTGTCTTTGTATATCCTGTCTCGACAAAGTTTTCTATGATTTTTCTTAGTGATTACATGGAAGATCTTAAAGAAGTGGGGTAGAAGGACCTGACTCAGGATAGTGACTGATTGCAGGGAAATTTCTTTACACTCCATTTAGTTATTATTCTCCCAATTGGATCTAAGTTTCCCAAAGTTGTCATGTTGTTTGATGTTTTCTGACATTTCTGTGCAATTCTCATTTCTGTTGTATATGCTTCATGCGCTGGACATGTCAATTCCATGATTTAGCAACCCTAGTCATGATGGGTGAGGATTAGAAATTTTGAAGCTGCTTATGATTTTTTTCTCCTGTTGTTCTCTCTTCAGTCCAAGTATTCTCCTCACCCTGTTTTGAAAAACTCTAGATTTATGTTCTTACCTTAGAGTGAGTCTTCAGTCCAAGTATTCTCCTCACCCTTTATGTTCTTACCTTAGAGTGATAAATTAACTTTTGAATCAGTACATGACACAAAAAATTAATTGCATTTGCAGGTAAAATGTGAAGAAGATGAATTTGACTGGGGCATCATCATCAACTTCAAAAAGCAGTCGGAGAACGTTGGAAATAAGAAGAAAGAAACCCCAATGAAAGCAGCTAACATTGTAGTGGATATCCTGCTTCATATATCTCCTGAAAGCAGCGCCCAGCATCCCCGTCCATGTCCCGCGGGCGTGCAGGGTGACATGGAGGTGATACCAGTATTAAACACGCTCATCACACATCTCAGCTCACTCAGAATATATTATCCCAAAGATTTGCGGCCACCAGACAGTCGCAAGTCAGTCCTCAAAACTATAGCAGTGAGTTACTCTATTTGATGATCTTTATTCATATTACATTTTTGCTGCTGCCTGGGGCAGCCTCTCGTCTTTGTATATCTGAACGCGTCAGGCAGTAGTTTTACGATTATATTGTAATGTTCTTCAAAGGAATTGTCAAAAATGGCATAATTTGCATGTGCATCAACTGATGAATGGTGATTTATATTCTGTGTCAACAGCATACATACGCATCATCAGTAAATGAGGGTTTAGAATAAATACTATGTTGTTGCGTAAAATACAAAATTATTTTTCAGTCTTGCAGTCAGTAAGATTTAACTAAAGTTCTTTTTCAGTCTTAAGATTGCATTATGTCTTATGTTATATAAAAATTGCCCCCAAATATCAGTATATAATTTAGTTAAAATTAAAAATATTGATTTAATGAATATGAAAATGTAGACACTTATTCTTCAGGTACCTGAAGATGTACTCATTCGTTGTTTGAGTGTGCGTGTGCTGTGTGGGTGCCTTGGTTGAAGCTAGTCTTTGTCTTGTTTATTGCAGGAAGTAAAGAAACGATTTCCAAGTGGAATTCCACTGCTAAATCCTGTAACAGATATGAAGATTAAGGACACAGTTTTTAAGGACACTGTCAAGCGCATAGAATCCTACGAGGAGCGCTTGTATGCCCATCCCATGCATAAGGATGCAGATCTGGACCGCTTGTATACTCTGTATTTGAGAAAACAGGAGGTAAGCTCCTTATTTTGCTTAGTGTTTTATTCCTGTAGTTTATTTCCCTCTCTTTTTTCCACATTTCTTTGTCTTCTTCCTCTTCGTTTATTTCATCATCATCTCTTGCTGTCCTTATACGCTAGTCGTCCTGGTTTGAATGTGATGATGGTGTCTCCACTGCAAAAGTTTGCACAATTACAATTTTGCTGACGACAGGGACCTGAAATGTAGCGCACACCCCACCCTCTTCCTTATGGCATGGCGTTAATACCGCATTTCGTAAGGAGCTGGTCAGCTAGTCTGCATCATGTTTGATGGCCGCTCGTGACTTGTTTTCAGTTTTGCACTGCTGTTTGTTGTTTCCTCTCCAGATCTCACAAGAGCTGAAAATAACAAAACAGGAATTGAAGAAAGCAAAGTCGTTGCTGCAGATGGATGAACTTAAAAGTATGAAAAGAGTTCTCAGGAGATTAGGTTACTGCACAGCTTCCGACGTTATTGAGATCAAGGGTCGAGTTGCTTGTGAACTCAGCAGGTATGGCCAACTTCATGGTACAGAGCTTCATTACCGTGTTCACAAAGTCCATCATTGTACCTTATCCAGTTCACTTCACACCGAATACCTATAAGACTTATTTACCTAGGTCTTGCAAATTGACTTCCCTGTGAGTTTTCTTGTTAAAATTTTACGCGTGTTTCTTCTTTTACCTGTGTGCAGCATATGTATCACAGAACATACCCTCCTTATTTGATTATTATCCTAATAATATTTGAAGCACCTTGTATGTTACACGCTCCGTACTTCATTCTTAGAAAGAAACTAAGAAAAATTTATTGGAGGGCAGTCGATTTAAGTATTATTTAATGTGGTTGGTATAAATGTGATTAATAATTAATTACATGAAAATAAAACTTTGTGAAATATTAAATACATTTTCAAAATGAGGAAAATGTCTACAGATAATTGATATTATAACTAGGCTAGCGAAGTTTTTATCATTATTTACTACAAACACATTTTGTAGTAATCAAAGACATTAGAAGTTTTTGTAATTTAAGGGCACAATATTTTGTATGAAGGTAGGCAAATCTCCTCTTCCCTTTTGCACAATGGCTTCTGATATTGTAATGTTCAGACCTGTAAAGTATAATCCTTGAGAAGCGTGAAACATTCTGTCCAGACAGTGAGTCTTCTTAATGCTTACGTGTTTGGTTTCCTCAGCGCTGATGAATTGCTAATGACGGAGATGATATTCAATGGAATGTTTAACAACCTGACTGTGCCGCAATGTGTGGCGCTACTGAGCTGTTTTGTCTGTGACGAGAAGAGTAACGAGTCACAGAAGACGGGAGAAGAATTGTCTGGCCCACTGCGACAAATGCAGGTCAGCGAATGTTTGTGTACGGTACTAGCGCAGATTATTTATAGATTTCTGGAAAAGTGGGATATGTACTTCCGTGAACTTAATAAAGGAAAATTCGAGTGGGGAAATATTTTCCACTGATTACAGCAGAGTATGATAAGTAAATTGTTAGATGGATTTTGAATTTGTGGAGGACGGTTAAATTAAAAATATCCATCGAAAAGTCGCGTTGTGGTTAAAATAACAGCTTTTAGGTTTCAAACATGCCTTTCTATGTTCTTTGAAGAGTAATGTATTTTTTTTTTCTGGGTTGTTTCCATTTTCATGGATTTATGTTCCTGTACCCCATAACTGTCAATGTTCCATTAAATTATAAATTCTGTGTAATTGTGTTTTTGGTCTCCTCTCTCCATATTTTTCAATCATTGCATTGTGTCAACTGTAAGGTTAATAATTTGATATTTAGTCTGCACAATTGTGACTGTTACTCAGTTTTTATTTATTAGTGTATATCATGTAGACTGCGCACCGAATACTGCATTCTAATGATTTTAGCCTCCACAACGAACTGCTCGAAAATGGCAGTATTCATCCCACCCACACCTTGAGGTGTAAGCTTGTCAGAGTGGACGTAATAATACCCAGTGCTGCCAATAGCTTTATTTATTTGATGGCGGTGATTATTGTACGATGATGTACTTACAGGATATGGCACGGAGGATTGCTCGAGTGAGTGTAGAGGCAAAACTGGATGTAAATGAAGACCTCTATGTAGATCAGTTCAAACCGTTCCTCATGGACGTTGTACATGCTTGGTGCAAAGGAGCTTCTTTCCTCCAGTTGTGCAAGATGACTGACATCTTTGAAGGTAATGAATATTTCTGTTCGCTGTCATGTTTATTCTGGCTCTTATGCCCACTTGTTATCCCTCCCAGTGCGTACCAGAGACTCTTCCCCCAATGTATAAAACTGGGTCACTCATTTCCTTTTAATTTTGAGGTTAAGAATGAGTGGAGCTTTACCTCCGCTCTCTTTATTCATCTTTACAGCACGATGCCTAGGCAGGGGGACAGTTTCATTTCACCTTTAGTGTACCTTTTCAGTGGTGCTAGTTTTTTATTTCTGTGCCTGTTTTTGGTACCCCAAAGATATTGTTCCGTGTTTAGGTAGCATCATCCGTTGCATGCGCAGACTGGAGGAGGTCCTGCGACAGATGTGCCAAGCCGCGAAGAGCATTGGCAACACAGACTTGGAGAACAAGTTCAGTGAGGGCATTAAGGTGATCAAGAGGGACATTGTGTTTGCTGCCAGCTTGTATCTGTGATGTTTCGACATCTTAGTCCGTTCTCCTGTTGTGGTCGTTCATATTTTCTTTAATTCCTCTGGGAATGTTGCGAATATAGATGTAATAATCTTAACTTGAAAAATTGAAAAGCTGAAGTGATGTGAAATGAAAAAATAAAAATCCAGTGTGATATTTTCCAAGAAAGTAGGCATTGTGTGTGATAAATACAGAAACAGCTTGTTAAGTGGGAGGCGGCTTTAAATGAGGGACATTTTAATACAGATCTTGCAAATTTAAAATGTTCTTTATATTTCGTAAGAAAATAAATGATGGATTTGGTAAGTAATCTTTAAATTGACATTGTATTTGTTTACTTTGACATTTGTTAAAATAATTACTAAGTTGATACGTTCAGCAGTCGAACACTCGCGTTTATTTGTGGCTGTTGACGATGGTTTTAATACGATGCCTTTCCAGTTACGGCCCAGATGCATTTCAGTTTTAACGAAGCTTGTGTTATTATTTTTATGTTACAGGGTTGTTTCACGGTACCAAGATTAATGTGTCTGGTGGTCATTTGGCCTGCAGATATTTCACAAATTGTGATGTGCTTTGTATGTTTTCATTACAGCTATTAACCAGTCAATATTTTAATCTACTGGCTAACAAGTAAATTAATTGGCTATTATAATTAAAAGTAGTAAATAATTAAAAATTTAAAGCTATAAAATAATTTATTGAGAGTGGTTTTTTGTTTGGCCAGTACACAGGTAGACAAAAGTACTGATGCTAAAATATGACTTGACGTTACATATCTGAAGCTATAATAAATGACTAATGTAATAGCACACGCCACGCGCTTAATACTTCAACCGTTACTTGTCTTTGTCATTTGCATCTTTACTCTCGGTGGACAGACGGGCAGTTGACTGAAGACGCGTGTTTGTGACAAATTTGGAGGTGCTGCCGCCGTCAGACAAATACACAAGTAAGTTAGACCATTTGCATCTTTCCTGCCTATGGTACGCTTCTGCGCAGGGTGGAAGCATGACGGACCTATGGAAATATTTATAATGAACAGTGGCATACGAGGTCTTGGGAATGAAGATTAGAAAATGGGATCTAGCGTTGGCTGTAAAAGAACTCTGACGTGAGTGTTTATAGTTGTCTGATTTCAGCTCCATGTCATAGCTTTTGACGGCCGCCCACCGGTATCGTGTTTTACGTCCTCCTGTCCGTGTGCTAGCAACACTCCGTTAACTCACATAGAGGACGTGGAGGTAAAACGCTTCTTATTCATAGCTTTGGTGCATCTTGGAGGCGATAGGTCAGCTGAGGCTTCAGAGACTTAACCAGGAGGATCCCCCATGTCGCATAGGATGAGGTCTGGGTGGTCTGCGTGTCATGAAGAGGGGATTTAGGAACGAAACCCACCTATAGCCAGTCGGAGCTCTCGTGACTCATCTTTTAATCATATTGTGGAGTAAAATGTGTTTTGCTTGTTTGTATTTTTGCAGCCTTCAGAGAAGGATTTCTAATACAAATGTTAGGATTTGGAAGGAACGTTTGTTGCTCTGTGATCCTACGTCTTTGTGTCGTGTATTTGATCTGAAGGATTCATTTGTGTAAATATTGAAGACTTGTTTGAATAAAAGTTGCATAAACTTCAAGCTTTATTTATTTGTATATTAATTTATGGTTGTTTTAACAACTCCATCAGACTGTATAATGTCAAATTATGGATGATTAATGAATTTGAAGGGTTATGTTATGTTTCATTTTATGCTTTTTGAGAATATGTTGTTGATTGAATTAAAATGTTTCAGAGAACGTGTATGGATGGATGTAGCTAGAAAGAAACCTGAAAGTGAATTGCAGTAGCTTGTGCTTGTCAAAACATTCGCACTTAACTTGCGATGAACCCTACAGCTGCAGATACGAGCCAATTGGAAGTCATTCTCATTATCCACTTGTTCGCTAATTGGTATGTCATCTCGGCTGTCACTGTCCTGATAAATGTTATGCAGCCAGCAGGCGCCCCAGTAACTGTGGTACAGTGTTCTTCACGAATACTATGCGTCACTCTAACAAAGCCACAATTATGTGATATCTGTGCTCCCGTCTTCTCTAAAAAGTGCGGTAAAGACTTTGGAATGTTACAGGAACATCAGTTGGCTTGAGTTTACCCAGCAACCGAGAAAAGGCTTTTAGACACTCGATAAATATCTGTAGCTAGTGCTGATTGACGAATTCTGCTAAAAGTGAAAGTGTAATAGAGAGGTCATGATTATCTTCCTTTCTGGATGTTTAATCTTCAGAATTGTTTGATTCACTTTGATCAAATTTTGCATTATTTCTCTAAATGAGAATATTTAACTTTGGGTCATGTATTCATTGAACCAAACTTATACAGTAAGCTAGTGGAGATGTCATTAAGATTTGCGACTTTTATTGGGTGCACAGTTTTTGACTGCCCAAACACTGGGATAATGGGTTCGATTCCCATTCGAGGTATGGAAATGACTGGGTGGAGAATTTTTGTGTCATTCACAAAGGTCAAATGCTGGCAGACGTGCCAGAATTGTTACGCAATGCGTTTGTTTCCTAACTTGTTTTCTGTTGTGCTGTACTGTGTTGGTGGTGGCTTCGCGATGTGCCGATCCCGTACCAAATACATAAAAATATAAGTTCAGAAGTTGTTTCTGAATTGGAACCGATCAAAAGCTGAAAAAAGGATAAATTAGTGTCAGGAGTAGTGTAAATATGGAAGGACGCATTTTGAAAACCTGTTTATCTGCTCCAAACTGAAGAAAATATTTCCACCCTCGTTGCATTTCAGGTTCCAGGACGTAATACATTTTCGCTACCTGATAGTGACGTGTGTCTATTGAGCGACAATGCTGTCACCCCCCCCCCCCCCCCCCCAATCTTTCTACGCCCCGTGACCAACACGCTGCTTATTATCGGCTTTCGGTACGAACTCCATTCCATTGAAGAAGTGCGTAAATGCACAGTTATACACGGGGTTATTCATTGGTATTGAGCAAGGTTGCCCCCAGGAGGTTAGCTTCGCGCTCCGGCTGTTTTATTTTGTTCTGGTTTTGAGCTTGGGTGATTCTCAGAGTCAGTGGTGAAAAGAGTCCTTCCCGGGAATCGAACCCAATGTATCGCTGAGAAAATGTATTTTATTTTATGGCAATATTATTGTTCTAGGTTGTTACGTCGTGCACACTCTTAGGTGCATACCACCATTACGGAGAAACATACTGTGTCCATCTTCAGGGCGATACTGGGAAATGGAGATTCTAAAAAGGGTCAGAGGAAGGGCAGGCTAGGGGGAATGGGTCATTGTGTTGCGCACTGCAAATTGACATGTCTCTCATATACAACCCACTACGTTTAGATTGATGGCTTTATTACAGTTTCAAGTTTTAATGTAGCAAGTAATAATAATTTCAGATTTTACGCCGTTAGGTCGGTCATATTGGTAGTGCTGGAAAAGATGGCGTGTCGATAGAGCGCGGTTTTCAGGTTTCGTGTGCAAAAATATGTTTTCTGACAGTTCTCTTACGGATTTACACTCGCAGTTTACGAACATAGGCGGCCAAAGATTTGTTATCAGTTTATTGAAGCGGATATCCGGTGAAGACTTCGGAAGTAAGTCGTAATTAATTCTAATTAATCTTTACCCTTGTTTCTTGTACTTTGTAGATCATGGTTCGGAAAACGATGCAGCCAACCTTGGGTTGACATTCCAGTTTCGTGTGCGAAATCTGTACACAAACCTAATAGCACAGAGTATTTTGCCTTGGTCAGAAACAAGACTGTGGGTATTAAGATATGTTTATTTTTTAAAAGCTGCTCATGGGAAGACTAGTTGTGTATGTAACAAACATTTCTTCATACTCCAGACATTATAGAAAGCATTGGGTCATACATCCAGAGACCAGTACTAATGTGTTAAACCGATTTATATTGGTAGAATGTCATTTTAGGCCACACAATGGACTTTTCCAATATGTTGGTATAATGAATCATTGTTACAAATATTTGGAGAATCAATATACAGGGTGTGCACATTAAATGTGTATCATTTTACTGTAACATTACTCCTGAACCGTAAGGCAGAGGAATGTAAATTAAACGCGTTTGGATAGGTTATATTTTAAAGTTTATAATTCTTGCCACATTAGTTTCTAAATCTTTCCACCTAAACCACAGTTGTTGAAATGGCTTCTGGAATTGAAGAATTTAAATGTTTGCTGTGGATTCACAAATCTAGGTCTGCAGTTCAGTTCGAAGGGGATCCAATACTTTGTTTGGAAGGGTATCTTCAACACATGTGTCGATTTGCAAATAGTAAAAATAGTTTGAGCAGACTGGCTGCATTTTAAAGGAGAAAGCCCCCTGGAGTGAAATTAAATACAAGTATGACATCTACCGGATTAGTTACGGTGCCATCATTGAACAATTGTAAAGTGTAGGTCACAAAAGTTGATCATTTGTAACGTCATGTTTTTATTTCATTGTCTTAGTTCATAAACATCGTCATAGTAAAATTGTATGCCCTGTAGACGTAGAAAGACGGACATACGGAAAATAAAGTACAGCCTGTTCTTTGTTGCGCATAATAAGAATGCAAACTGCACTCCCCCTGTGCTGTGCAGTGCAGGAGTTGCGATTTGATAGAGACTTAAGCCCATCTTTCTGCCACACACTGCCAACTTAGGGGAACTTAAATATAATATGAATGAGTGTTAATAGAAGCAGCTACATAGTGCAGAAAGTTTGAACTCCCAGACCACTCATATAATTTTCCTCTGTGACGTTAGAGGACAGTAACAACAATTACAATTAACCAGTGGATGGGGACTCGTTTTCCGTATGCGTAAACCCCCGCCCGGAACTGGTGTATAAAGACCGGAGTGCAAAGTAGGGGCGTATAGGGAACACTAGGTGATGTTGGTTTTATATGTTTATTACGAGCTTCGAGCGAAGGGAACTGTTTAAAATGTGGAAAGGGAATTAGGTTCTTCTGTGTAACCCTTTTAAGCACGAAGCTCGTCAAAATAACATTTAATAATTCAGTCCGTACCGCGAAGAAAACACAACGCTTCACCATTACAAAGATCAACTTGTTAACGCTGTTTAAGGAAACAATTGCTGTTATTAAAGCGGGTGGTACCAAAATAAAATGGCGATTGTTGAACGTACTGAGCGAGATGGCTGAAGCGATAAAGGTTCAGCTTTGTATTCTGCAGGTGCTCGTTTCGAATCTCAACCGGGATTTCGACCATCCTGAATCGAAATATTAATGATTATACTCAGGCCTTCCAGTCTAATTATGAGATGGCCCCTTAAAATATGCCACTGTGATCGATCATATTTTCAGCGTCGTTAAATAACCTGTGATCCCATGCAGAGTTTATTTTGCTTTACTTTTATTTGAGCTTTTTTTATAATAAATTTCTTTGCCAGGATAAATTTTAACTAGGTAATTGTTCTTTTTTTAATTTTATATCGAAGAAGTGTTCTGTTGTGTACGAGTTATAACTGTTCAGTTACCTCTTAATGTTGATTCACTGTCTATATTCATTGCACTGTCGTACCACCAAGGTCTCTGTAGTGTAATTATTATGATTATTGATTATAGTCGGTGAAACAATGTTAATTTGAGAATTAATAAAGCAGTAATTTCTTTATATTCCTTGTCTTACATCAGTAAGACTATTATATAAATATTCTCAAACTGCCGTGTCAGACTCCAACCAATAAATTATATTACAAAGACGTATTTTCTGTACAAGTAGGACGAACATCTCCCATTGGTCGGTTACTTGTTGAAGGGCCTCGAAAGTTCAAATAAAAATTGTAATGGCGAGTGAGTAGCAGTTACTGCCATCTCTACATCCAAATCTGAACTAGAGTTTGGCACATTATCCGCTAGGAGGTATGTGATATGGCGCAAAATAAA